TGAAGCAGAGTCTTATAAAAGAGCCATTTAGAGATGAAAATCAAGGAAGAAAGATTTTTGGCCAAAAAAATGTGAAATGGTTAAGAGAAGCCTTGTTCAAGCAAGTAAATTTATTGAAAAAATAAAAATAAAAAGATGGCATCTTGATACTACAAATTAGCCATGGTGAGAAGAATTCTTGTCAGACTAAGAAGAAGATATAAGAACTAAACAAAACGAATGGGATCTCTAGGATCCTTTAGTAATAAATCCGAAAGTAATTAATTAAGTTCAAGGAAATTATCAACTTCCATTGCCCGTTAAAATGATTTCTAAGTTAGGTAATTAACAAGATTTCCTTTTCAAAGTTAGGACTTCCAACCTTTCGAAGTAAGGACTACAAAGGACTTGAAACCTTTTGTAGGTGGTTGTAAAAGCATATAATTTTGTAAGGCTAAATGTTCATTTACATATTTAATGATGGGCGCTGCTGCCTGGATTTGGCTACTTGGCCTCTTATGCAACTACAAGACTTTCATTTTCTGGGCTCGAGTATTGGACTGTTTGTACTTTTTTCATGTCGTCAGCTCTTGTTTCTTCTTCTTCTTCTTCTTCACTTTTCTTTTTGCCCTCTGTTACACTAGGATAGAGACCCATTGGGCTTTAGCTATATTATTATAGCCTATAGGAGGAGTAGCTCTTTCTTTCCATGAAATCTCTTTCCCTAGCTTTTCTAACCTAGTAAAAAAACAATTGGTTTGTTGACTAAGGAGGTATGTTCACTTAAACTTTAGGAATTCAAACCTTGAAACAGCAAAATTTATTAATTTTTTAAAATATATCATATCAATACTGAAAGTTTTTTTTTTTTAAATTATGAAACTTAGTCTTAATTGATACATAAATTGATTCAATTATACCCCTAAATTATTATTAAACAAAATTTTCTTTTTCTAACATTGATGATTAAAGTATTTTTAGACTAGCTTTCATTTATCAAACACCAAATTCTAATGGATACAGAAAATTCATCGAATTCAAACTCAATATGATTGCAGAACAAATTAATCTACTTACCAAAGTATTAATAAACGAGTCAAGATAGCTGCCTATTTCTCCTTTATCAAATAATGAGTCAATAAGGCTAAATTACTATAGTGTCTTTAGACCAACTTACATACACCCTTTTAGCAAACTTCTTCGAGGTTGAAATGATTTCTACTCTGGTAAATAAGTTGCTTTTTCAAAGGCAGAAAGTAGTTTTAATGGTCAGTTATGTGACTTTAAGGTTGAATACATCATATCTATGTTGTTAAACTTGAAACCGGCAGCTTCAGTCTAATGTTTCCTCTTTCAAACACATAATCACTTGTTCTTAAGTCAAGACATGTAAGATCATAGGACCATTCTATAAGTAGGCAATAATTTCCAGTTGAATAAGGATCCAATAAGGAAATATATAAAATATCTCAAGACCCATAAATTAGTTGACCTGTTTATTTCTCTTTTTCGGTAGAGAATAATAGTACCATAGAGTAAATGCAGAAAAAAAGTACCATAGTAGAAATGTAGGAAATGGAGGCCAGCACACATAATTATGTCTAGAATCACTGGTAAAAATTTGCGATTACGTACTGGTAACAATTGATTTTTACATGACAAAGAACAATTGTCCTTGCAAGTGGAGAAAAATTCGTAAAAATGATAAAGTGATCAATCATGTTCATTAAGCTTGGATATAGTAGGTTACTTCAATATTTCTTCAACAATTTAACATGCTCCCTCTTCGTAGTTTCATGAGGATATCAAAAATTTAACACACACATATCTTTTCTTTCATCTTTTAAATCTCTCTGATCTCTCTCTCTCTCTCTCTCTCTGAGACAGAGAGAGAGAGAGTATTCAAAGTTAATTACATATTGATCTACAAAAAAATAACTTTGAAGTGCAATTTTAATTCCATTCTAAAAGAAGTGTCGAGTATTCTAAACTTAAGGTTATGTGGTCTTTGTTTCCCAGATATTAGACAGAAAATAAAGATTTGAGTTCATAATTTTATAACATAATTAATCAAGGTTTAGCCTGTGAATGGAATTAATTAATATTGCGAATGAAATTAATTAATCTTTTATTGTTTGTTTTCAATTTTTCAATTTTTTCTTTTTTTCTTTTTGTCTTGCTTTCGTGTACCTTTAGACTATTCAATGTATCGACTTCTTTCAAAAATAAAAATAAAAATATTGAGCTCTAAAAAAACATAAAACAATTTATTAATTTTTTTAGTTCTTTTAGGTTCATGTATGTAAAACATTAATGATATAATAATCCTTAAATTTTTAGAATTATTCTTAAATTAAAAAATATATGTATTGAGAGTATTATAATCTAAGTTAAATTACACGTGATTGATATGGAAATAATATGCTATAATATATGTGAGATGTGTTTCTATCATGCTTCCTTCTACTCCTCTCTCTAATTTTTTTTTTATGCTAGTTCGATCCGATGGGATGTTCAAGGGATTTAGAACATGGGGTATAAAAAAGGGAGAAATCATAAAGGAAGTAACATTCAAAGAAAAAGATAAAGCACATGCTTCCAATAAGAGAATATGGACCTTGTACCAGGAGAAAGATAGCAAGTCCAAGATAGATTAGGTGCAAGATGATAAGCCCACGATAAGGAGATTTTTTTTATATATATATATACAATAGCCCACGATTAGGAGACGAGTCCTTGTATGAGAGATAATGTGATATAAGAGGCGACCACACATGAAGAATGAGAAAGAGAGATGAAGCAGAGTCTTATAAAAGAGCCATTTAGAGATGAAAATCAAGGAAGAAAGATTTTTGGCCAAAAAAATGTGAAATGGTTAAGAGAAGCCTTGTTCAAGCAAGTAAATTTATTGAAAAAATAAAAATAAAAAGATGGCAACTTGATACTACAAATTAGCCACAGTGAGAAGAATTCTTCTCATACTAAGAAAAAAGATAGAAAAACTAAACACAAAATGCTTTCAAATTTTAAAAATTGTGAGATTTTAAAATTAAAAAGAAGGGTTGGAAATAAATTTGAACACTTCAAAAAAATAAAAATATAAACTTGAGTTTATTCAAAGAATCCTTTTAGTTCTTACATGTTTATATAACATATACATAAAGCATTAATGATTTGATTATCCTTAAATTAATATATGTATATGTTGCAAGTATATATTATATTTTTAAGTCCAAGTTCACATGGCTTTCTCTCTTATAAAAATAATAAAATATGATAATGTGAGATGTGTTTCTATCAAGCTTCCTCCCCTCCTTAGTTCCCCCATTTTTTTTTTCCCTAACAGCGTGCTAGAAATAGCATTGTGAAGGGACACATAAGGCCATTATACCCAATAACAAGAAGTTGAAAGCAGTTGAATGTTAGGCGTGATATAAAAGTTGCAGCTCTCGATTGCATATTTGTGGACAAAATGAAATTTCCTCCTCTAGAGAATTCAGCTCCCTGGCCTGATTTTTCTTTAGCTAGTTTAATTGTTGCGTTCTGTCTGGTTTTTGATGTTTGAGCTTCTACCCTTTTGTATATGTTTGTTTCGTTGGCTAATCTTAACCTTTTGTAATTATTTTTTTCTTCATCACGTTCAAAAAAATAAAATAAAAATGAAAGCATGCTTCATTACCATGAATTGCAAGGTAAATAAGTTTCTTTTTCTAAGGTAGAAAGAAGGTTCAAAGGTCGGTTATGCGACTTTAAGAGTTGAATGCATCATATTTATGTGTTGGGACCAGCAAGACAAGATGACAGTGTCCTTCTCTTTCAAGTTTCAAATTCACAGCAATGGAAAGGGAAAAAAAAATACAAGAAAAAGTTGGAAGTGAATTAAATAAGGATATCTCGAGAGGACCTCTTCTATAAGTCGGCAATAATTCCAGTTCAATAAGATCGTACAAGGATCCAATGAAGAACTAACTATTTCATAATCACCGAGGCAGTGTAATAGAAATAGACAGCACAAGAAAGTTTTATGTCTTCTTTGTAAATCAAAATTTGTTATACGACCTGGGCCAGAGTACTATTTAATTTGATCAAATTAGCCTCTTCAACATCTGTTAGACAATATCAATTCTTGTATAAATCGATCAAGTTTGAAGCACATATTGAGGGTAAGACGATCAATATATAGCTCCAGATATAAGGGTTTAATGGGTGATCTTTCAGTAAAAATTGGATATTTTTATCGCATTAGTCTCTAATTAGTGATCAATTTTATCTCATAGATTTCATTTAGCTATTAATATAAGAAGACGACATGTAGTTGAGAAAATTCCAAAAACATGTTGGTTAGATGGTGTAAAAACTTGTAACGTTTTTTTTTTCTTTGTGAATTAAAACATTGTTTCTCGTGTGAAAAGGGAAATTGAAAATGATTGATGGAGACAATAAGGAAGGAAATTAAAGAAGAAAAAAAGGGAGGATTTTTCACGAGATAAATTTGGTGATCTACAAACCACAAACATTTTGCTTATCTTCAACAATCTTTCCGTATCTTTAAGAAGTGTGACCTGCGCGCTCTTATGCTTTAGCAACTCTATCTATCCCTCCTCCTCAACTCTATCTATCCCTCCTCCTGTGCACTAAGAAATGATCAAGCAATTTAATCGTAGCACTGGCCAAGAATGGGTCATACACATTAAACGAACCCTTGAAGAAGGTATAGATGATGAAGATGTAGGCGTTCCTGTCTGCATCTTCAGTGTATCCAAAGCCATGGTTTCAACCAAACAAGAAGCATACATCCCTCAACTAGTTGCAATAGGCCCTTATCATCATCGACGCGTAGAGCTCTTCGAAATGGAGCGTTACAAGCTCATTGAAGCGGAAAGAGTCCAGAAGAAGTATCGAAACGTTAGGTTCAGTGACATAGCTGAGCATTTGGAGGAAAATGATGCCAATGTCCGAGCTTGTTATCATGCCTACTTGGATTTTGATCGAGAAGAACTGGCCTGGACTTTTGCCATTGATGCTTCCTTCTTGCTTGGGTACCTCCGAACCTTCATAATTAGAACTGAAGAGCCATCAAGTAATCGTTCATCTTCTAGTCTAGCAGATATGGTCAACCACCTCGCCAAGAAGAAAACCATTCGCCAAGCAATCCTCGGGGATATGCTGATGCTGGAAAACCAAATCCCTCTTTTCGTGCTAAGAAAAGTCAATAGGTATTTTCAGTATGAAAATCCTGATGAAGCGTTGGCCATGATGTTAATGAAATTTTGTAAGCATGCGTCTCCGATTAAAATCGTGGACGGACAGCAACATGTTAGCGAAGAATGTCTCCAAAAGAACCATATTCTTGATCTTATCTATTGCACGGTTGCACCGAAATTCGAAGATATTGGAAGGGAAATCGAAGAGTCGAAGGAGCGCAACGAAGAGCATGAGGAGAATGGTTGCTTTAAGAAAACTTGGAAGTCAATATGGAGCTTTTTATGTTTCATTATCGTAGTTCCTCTTCGGTTTCTTATACGAATACTCAAATCAAAAGCTGTCAAGGCTGCAGTAACCTTACCATGGAAACTCATAAAGAGTGTTTGCCATCTTAAACCCACAAGTGAAATAACCAATCTTGTATCAACAGCAGAAACTGTAGCTGCAGAGATCGAAAGTGTGTCTGCATTGAACGATGCGAGTCTATTGATCGAAAAGCTATCGATTCCATCTGCGACAAAACTTTTTGGGATTGGTGTCAAATTCATTCTCACAAAGGGAGGCTTGCAGACTATCAGCTTTGACAGACCTCGTGGAGCATTTTATCTTCCGGTGGTGAACTTGGACGATGACTCAGAGGTGTTACTGAGGAATCTTGTAGCTTATGAGGCTTCTTTAGCACCAGAATGCACGGTGTTAGCACGCTATGTTGAATTGATGAGTGGGATTCTAGACACAAAAGAGGATGTGAAGATTTTGAGGGATTCAGGGATTGTCTTGAATCGACTCAAGAGCGACGAGGAAGCAGCAAATCTTTGGCATGGAATTACTAAATTCATGAAGCTAACCGAAGTTCCAATTCTTGACAAGGCAATAGAGGAAGCAAATTCTTATTATTCAAATAACTGGAAAGTTCGGATATCAACGTCTTTCAAGAAGTATGTTTATAGCTCATGGCCTATTCTCACATTCTTAGCAGCTAATCTTCTCATCTTGCTGTCTGCTTTGGAGGCCTTCTGTTCAGTGTATGGCTGCTCTAAATGGTCAGCTTCTCTATGATAAATTTGTAGTCCTGTATTTTAACATTTCTATTGCCAATGTCATTGTAACACACTTCTAAGAAGTTTCAAACAAGTGATCATTTTCATCCATACTATTACAGGGAGGCGAACCACGCAGCGGATAACCTGGCAAAATTATGGAGGACTTCATAGAACAAAAGACCTCATTGCTTGGCTTTAATTTCTGTAACAGATTTGATTCGTTTGGGTTTTTTATTTCTGTTTTTGATCTTTTAAGAGCTTTCTTTTGTAATCTATGAATCTTGTTGGGTTCAAATTAAGGGACACAACATCCTTGTGTTCCTCGTTTCCTTAATGAAAATCGACTTTAAGTTCATCAAACAATGGGTATTGCACTGAAGAGTTTTTTCAGTCTTGTCACTAGAGAGAGACATCTCGATGATTTATGATTAGGATTGATAGAGTAAAATTGAAAATAAAAACATCACCTAGTTTTATAATAATTAGAAATTTTAATTGACCTTTAAAGTTATAGTTATGAAGCTAATTATACTAAAGATAAGGCTCCTTTAAAGACATATCTTAATTTTTGGCTGACTATTTTAAGACATGATAGGTGCTAAATGACAAGCCCCTCATTGTATGATAGATGATGTAGTGTAAGAGGAGATCACACACGCAGAAGAGAGAGAGCTATGAAAGAATTCACGTGACTTAATATGAGAGTAATATAATATGTTATGGTAAGAATGTGTTTCTGCCATGTTTACTGCTCTTCCTTCCCCCGGTTTTTTTTTTCCTTCTCCCAACAGCTTGATGAAAATAGCAGTGTGGAAGGACACAAAAGGCCAATAAATCCAATATAAGAAGTTGAAAAATGGAGAGTGTTCGGAAAATCTAACGCAATCACAGAATCAAAAGATTTTATTTTCTTGGATTTATCAAGTGAAGACGATAAGGAGCAAAAGGAAAAGGTGAGGAAAACTAAAAAAAGAACAGAAGAAATAACGATTTTGCATCCATTCGTCAATTTTTTTGATCTGCAAACCAAAGCTTGCTTATCTTCAACCCTGTAAGAACGGTGAGGTATGCTCATGTTTTAGCATTTGAGCAATATTTTAATCTCACCCTTGATCAGAAATGGTGTTTAAATTAAGAAAGCTATACTCTTAAATTAGTCAATTCATGTAGCTAAATTCTTATTAATTAAGCTGTATTAATTTTATGCTTTGACCGTTTTATACACCATATCTGGGTACTGGCAAGGTTATGATTTCTCTTGAGGTAAATAAGTACTTAAAAATTATAATTTAAATATTTTTTTAATTTTAAAAAATAAAATACAGAATTGATTATTCAAAATAACGGTAAACGTGCTTCAAGGTCTCATTTTTTATTTCAAGTTTTTTTCTCTCCCCTTTCCCGGTAAGCTCGGTGGTCCTCTGTTTTATTTTTCTTCTCTCCGACTGTCCTGACCTTTTGTCTTGTCCTTCCGGCCCGTGAACTGTTTGGGCTTTTTTTCCATCTCTTTCTAGCCCGTGAGATTACGTCGTTGCTTTGGGTGAAAAGGAAATTGGAAAATGATTGATGGAAACAGCAAGGAAGGAAAGGAGGACAAAACGAAAGGATTCTGCATGAGCTAAATTTGGTGGTCCAAAAATCACAAACAACTTGCTTATCTTCAACAATATTTCCACTTTCCAGCTCTTTAAGAAGTTTGAGCTGCACTCATGTTTTAGCAAATCTAACTATCTGTCACGACCCAAATCCCGGGTCCATGACCGGCAACGCAGGAGGAGTGTCGAAAGGACACCCCACCTACGCTAAGCCTCAAAACATACATATCAAAATAATAGATATTCAAAAATACGCAGCATTTCATAATCTTCAGAAATATTATATTACTCAAAGCTGATGAAATCAAAGGATAGTCAAAACTCTTCATCAGTAATTAAAACAAAATAATAATTCATAATACTCATTACATTGTCAAAATCCAAACTTAATTAAAACAGAGTAATAGTGGAGCGTCTAAGACTTCAAATCAAAACAACCTTGAACAATAAGCAAGGCATACCGACCCAAAACTGAAGAAGCAGAAACACTCAACAAAGTCCAACTGCTATCAGAAACTAAGAACCTGAAATAATATTAAGAATGAGGGGTGAGTTCAACTAACTCAGTGAGGGAATAATATTTAATATACATTTTAGATATTTTCATATTAATAATTTGTCAGATGATTTATCTTGATATACATATACATATACATACTAAATATATTATCATAACGTAGTAGAATGATATACATATACATATACATATACATACTGAACAAATTATCATAACGTAGTGGAATACATGTCAGAGATCAGATGACACCCGAAGGTGACCAGATGACACCCGAGGGTGACCAGATGACACTCAAAAGTGACCAGATGACACCCGAAGGTGACCACTGTGGGATGATCAGTCGCCACAGGCTGATGCTTCTCTCATCAGCTAGGTATACAGAATACTATGTGCACATAGGCTAACTACTCTCCGTTAGCATGGAGTTACTGACAAGTCCTATATCAAGGCATAATATATATTTACAGAATCATCAAAGAAACGTATATCATATCAAATAGAATTTAGCTCGATAAAATACGAGTGCAAATTTCAAGAATAGATGAGTACTCGGAAAACAAAGCAAAATATATAAATATAAATATTCAAGAGATTAACTAATCGTACTCATCATATAATCAACATACATATTTACTTATATTATATGCATATTAAAGATTATCCCACTCACCCGGAAAATATAGAACTAAAGGAACGTCAGACGAAAGACCCGAAAATCCTATTGAGGATCGTTAGGAGAACCTACAACAATATATGACATATACTCAAAAACAACTCAAACAAAATATCTCAATGCATAAAATAAAACTAGGTTTACTCTCCTAGGTTTAGGGACTAAAATGATAATTATCCAAATAGGGACCAAAATGTAATTTTACCAAAACTGGACCAAACTGTAAATATATAACCATACTGAAATTTCACCCATAAACCATCCTTCATTCTGTCCAGAACGAACTAGGGACCTAAAAGTAATTTTTATAAAGTTTAAGGACTAAAATGTAAATTCCTAAAATTTAGGGACCAAACTAAAAATATTCCAAATCAATTATCAAACTGAGAGTTATCATCCTTAACCTCATAATAACACTGTCCAGAATCTCAAAATACCATTAGGGGTCAAATTATAATTTTCCCAAAGTTTAGGGACTAAAATGTAAATTCTTAAATTTAAGGACCAAACTGGAAATATTCCAAATCAATTATCAAACTGAGATTCATCATCCTTAACCTCATAATAACACTGTCCAGAATCTCAAAATACCATTAGGGGTCAAATTATAATTTTTCCAAAGTTTAGGGACTAAACTGTAATTTCCACAAATTGAGGGACCAAATTGAATTTTCGTCATCTTCAACCTCAAACCCAGAATTGTTCACAGATTACCTACTGTTCTTGCCAGAATTCCAACTCAAAATTCACAATTTACACAAATCATGACTCAACATCATCATCTTTACCAACAATCTCTCAAAATCAACTAATTAATCAATTACCTACAACAATCAACCCTATAACATTCAAATTAATTCATCAATTAACCCAAAACACAAATTTTCAAAACCCTAATATTTATCAAAACATAAATTTAAATTTCAAACAACACATTTATACATTTAACAACCTAAATCTTACCTTTAAAGTTATTTCTTCTCAATCTCTTCCCTTTCCCTTCTTTTCCCCTCTTTTCTCTTCTTCTTCTTCCTTCTCCCTCTCTTACGTTTGCTCTCAAAAAACCACAGCTCCCTCTTTTGTTCTTTTGTTTTCTTTTCTTCCTATTTATATTTATCAACTATTATTCAATTACCACAATACCCCTCATTTAATTATACTTACTCTTTAAGCCACTAAAGGCTTGGTTGCCCTTTCCTACTAATTTTCAAAACATCACATTATCCCTCCTCCTGTGTCCAAAGAAATGAGAAAGCAATTTAACTGTAGCACTGGCCGTGAATGGGTCATACACATCAAACGAACCCTTGATGAAGTTATAGAAGATGAAGATGTTCCTGTCTGCATCTTCATTGTACCCAAAGCCATCGTTTCAACCAAACAAGAAGCATACATCCCTTAACTAGTTGCAACCGGCCCTTATCATCATCGACGTGTAGAGCGAGCTCTTCGAAATGGAGCGTTACAAGCTCATTGAAGCAGAAAGAGTCCAGAAGTATCTAAACAATAGGTTCAGTGACATAGTTGAGCATTTGGAGGAAAATGATGATAGTGTCCGAGCTTGTTATCCTTCCTACTTGGATTTTGATCGAGAAGAACTGGCCTGGACTTTTGCCATTGATGCTTCCTTCTTGTTGGGGCGCCTCCAAACCTTCATAAGTAGAACTGAAGAGCCATCAAGGAATCGTTCATCTTCTAGTCTAGCAGATATGGTCAACCACTTCGCCAAGAAGAAAACCATTCACAATGGAATCCTTAGGGATATGGTGATGCTGGAAAACCAAATCCCTCTTTTCGTGCTCAGAGAAGTCAATACCTATTTTCAGTATGAAAATCCTGATGAAGCGTTAGCCATGATGTTAATGAAATTTTTTCAGCACGTGTCTCCGATTAAAATCGTGGATTGCCAGCAACATGTTAGTGAAGAATGTCTGCAAAAGAAACATCTTCTTGACCTTCTCTACTGCAAGGTTGCAGCAAAATTACAGGATGTTGAAAGGGAAATCGAAGATTCGAAGGAGGGCAAAGAAAACCAGGAGGAGATTGGTTGCTTCAAGAAAGCTTGGAAGTCGATATGGGGCTTTTTATGTTTCATTATTGTAGTTCCTTTTCGGTTTCTTATACGAATACTCAAATCAAAAGCTGTCAAGGCTGCAGTAACCATACCATGGCAACTCATCAAGAGTCTTCGCCTTCTTAAACCCAAAAGTGAAATAACCAATCTTGTATCAACAGCAGAAACTGTGGCTGCAGAGATCGAATGCGAGTCTGGATTGAACGGTGCAAGTCTATTGATAGAACAACTCTTGATTCCATCTGCTACAAAACTTTCTGGGGTTGGTGTCAAATTCATTCCCACAAAGGGTGGCTTGAAGACTATCAGCTTTGACAAACCTCGTGGAGCATTTTATCTTCCGGTGGTGAACTTGGACGATAACTCAGAGGTGTTACTGAGGAATCTTTTAGCTTATGAGGATTGTTTAGCACCAGAATGCACGGTGTTTACACGCTATGTTGAATTGATGAGTGGGATTCTGGACACAAAAGAGGATGTGAAGATCTTGAGGGATTCAGGGATTGTCTTGAATCGACTCAAGAGCGACGAGGAAGCAGCAAATCTTTGGCATGGAATTACTAAATTCATGAATATAACCAAAGTTCCTATTCTTGACAAGGCAATAGAGGATGCAAGTGCTTATTATTCAAATAACTGGAGAGTTCGGATTTCAACGTCTTTCAAGAAGTATGTTTATAGCTCATGGCCTATTCTCACATTCTTAGCAGCTGATCTTCTCATCTTGCTGTCTGCTTTGGAGGCCTTCTGTTCTGTGTATGACTGCTCTAAATGGTTGGCTTCTCTATATTAAATCTGTACTGTATTTTAACATTTCTATTGCCAATTGGCACTGTAACACACTTCTAAGAATAATTCTGAAACAAGTGATCATTTGCATCTGTACTATTACAGGAGGCAAGCCATGCAGCAGATAACCTGGCAAAGCTATGGAGGACTTCATAGACCAAAAGACCTCATTGCTTGGCTTTAATTTCTGTAACAATTTGACTAGTTTGAATTTTTTTATTTCTGTTTTGGGCCTTCTTAGGGGTTTCTTTTGTAATCTACGAATCTAGTTGGCTTCAACATCCCCTTGTTCGTCTTTTTCCTTAATGCAAATCAACTTAAGTTCATCAAAATATTACGGGCATTGTAAGAAGAGTTTTTGAGTCCGTTAACATCAAATTGGATTTAATGTTTTACAATCATTGATCAGAAAAGAAGGACTAACATAAAAAATCAAAAGAGTACTATAAAATTATTTTTGAGATTTTAATTTAGATCTTAATTTTTTTTTAAAAATAATTTTTTAATATGTTATAAAAATTTTATTGACTAAATAATTATAAGTTCAAATTTCATTATTTCATTTAAATTAATAAAAATTAAGTATAAAATAATATGAGGTTCTATAAATTTAAAACTCAAAAAACTTTTTATTTGAATGGTGTATTAGGGAATAAATATAGATTTCTACAAGTTCAATAGTTAATAGTTTTACATGAAAAATTATTTTTTTTAAAAAAACTCACTTAAACAATTCTTTGACCAAAAATAAAATAAAATTACTTTCATCTTTTTATCATTCACCCGCCTGATTTTTTTTATTATGAAATGACTAAAACAAAAGTTATTAAACCCTCGGGACATGGTATTTGGAATTTGATTAGTAATTAAAAATTCATTTTGAATAATTTTTCAAAACCAAGTTTTTAATGGATCGACAAAGGTGCTGAATATTTAAATATTGGATCAAAATGAGTATACTTCTTGTTGACTTTTCAAAAAAAAAAAAAATGAGTATACTTCTTGTTGACTTTTCAAAAAAAAAAAAACAGTACAAGTAATTCCAGTTTAATAACTATAATTAAATTAATTACCGACTAGTGTCTGCTATTAAATGCAAAACGAATGAGTATGTGTCCCTTAAAAAAAGAGGAGGAGGAGGAGGAGGAGGAGGGGGTCTGCAAGATGGCAACCAACTAGTCTGCACGTGAACGAGGCAATAAATAAACCACAAAAGTTATAAAACGTATGGATATACATTTAAGGATAAAAAAAGATTAAAAAAAATAGATATGAATATTTTTTTTTAGAAAGATTTTAAATATGTTTACTAACACTGTTTTAAAAATCAAATTTCTAGCCAATGAAATAACATTGAAACAGATTGTATGGATTTTTTTCGCAGTACCGTCCTGTACACGAGGGATTGCTAAGATTAGTTTATTTGGCATGCCTATCATTTGACTCTTAAGGAGGTGGCCTGGTAATTAAGATGATTTACTTCCATTTACTTATTTGATTTCGTGAATCGTGAGTCTAAATCTAGAGGTTAATGGAAGTAAATCATCTTAATTACTTCCATTTACTTATTTAAATCGTGGGTTTAAGAAAAATAGGCCTTGCCCATCCTGCAATGGTGGTGGGTTGGGGTACAGAACTCTCGGTTCGACATGGATTGGGTCTAGGCTTTACACCTCTTTAGTTGGACCAGATAAATTTCAAACCCATCTAAAACTATAAATAAATAATATTTTAACTTATATTTCCACCTTCTTCGACTGCCCAGTATTAATTTTGCACTATTTTTTTTTATTATAACAAGTGTTCAAGTCAATTTATGAGTATTTTAACTAATTTCATAAATTTTAAAATTAATTATTATAAAAAATTTTAATAGCCCTAAAATTTACAAAACTTAAATTAATAATTTCTAGATATTAAATCTTGAACTGCTTAGTTGATTAGTTGAGTTATACTTTAAAGTTAATTTTGTACTATTTTATCTTTAGCTCGACATGGACGTTTTCAATTGATAGATTTGTTTTACAATATGTTGTTTTCCAAATCGTAAGGTTGCCGTCGTATATATAATTGGCTGTCTAGAGATAAGGTTTATACGTATGTGGCTGTTGTTAGCCTATTGCCAATACATTATTGATTAATGGAGGAGGATGGAGCAAAAATGAATCTAAAATAATACTTAAACTTGAATTATTTGTGTCCTTTATTGATGTTCAAGTACTGTAAGCCTCTACGAAGCATGCCACGATTTATTTCTTTTTTTTTTTTTTGATTTACATGGGGTGTTCAGGCCAGCTTACGCGCACCACGACTAATCCCCACGGCCCACTGAATACCCTGCAAACCCAGTAAGCATGTAAGGCACCGCGGGGTGACAGACGTGCACGCCAGAACTCGAACCCAGATGCAGTGAAAGGAGACAAGCCCCTTCCACCGCTAGGCCAAGCCCTGGTTTGCACCACAATTTATTTCTTGAAATATGCAATGATTGATTTAATAAAATATAGATTTTTTTTTGTCTTTTTAAAACAATTTAATATTCTAAATTCTATGGGGGATATTGAGTATGACTCCTTTTTTTTTTAAGAAATTAAAAAACAAATCTTCATATGTCACTATTGTAAGCAGATTTTTTCTACCTCCTTGGAATCTTTGTGAAGCAAATAACAAGCGAAATAGGAGATATGTCGAGGTGTTTGTTAACAAAAGTATACACCAACTAATACCAGTCCGATACATAAAACAATGCCAGATCTTCCATGATTCAAAACAATGCATAAAAAGGTAATTAACATACCCAGTTACCTTGGTATATAAAGGATATGCTGCTTAATTTGCTCCAATTAATTAAATTTCTTCAACTAAAATTCCCTTGTACTATCTCTATCTTGAAGAAATAGCCACAAGAACATTTCAACAATTGTTGGCGCAACTGATTGAAAGTCCAAAAAAAAAATTAAGCAAGAGTTCTGATGGCCTAAATGAAGCTTCTTTTCCAGTTTAACTTCTAATGCCAAGTTTCCTTCACATACTCTCCCATGTCAGCCAAACAATAAGCAGGTGCAGCAGACAAAGCATAGAGGCCTGGAAATTTTCCCTTAAAATCCCACTTTGTAACCATTTATCAGTTCAAAAATAAATTGTTCTTCCATTCCCAGCCTTGCAATAGCACTCTCTCTTCAAAACTGATAAAGTTTCAGAATTAGAGTCTATAAATACTCTTTCCATGTTTCTGAAAGAGGGACACTAATTAAAATATGGAAGACCATATTTTGGAATAACCTTAAACTCACCTTGTTTTCTTGGATCAATTGACCAGCCAAATTTAATGGTTCCCGAGATTAATTTTGGAAGAGAAGATAAGCTTCGTTTTCATCAATAATTTATCTTTTCATGTCCCCGTACAACCAATCATATATTTACTTTTCTTGTCAAATGATGCGAGTCGGATGATATTTCAATATTAAATTAGTAATTTGATAGAAACAACCTCGCAGATCGATCCTCCATAATTTGAGCTTGTATGATAACCTCCAATTAGAGAGAACATAAGGGCTATAAATTATTGTTTGATCTACCAAGTTTTCTTTTCCTGCCCCACTGCTGTTTACCGAGCCAGCTGAGATGAATGAGACGTACGAGACATTTTTTTTGAGAAACTTGTCCAATTCTCTAACCTACATATTTGGAAGCAACAACAGCCAACCAGGAGAGGTTTCTTTTCAGCTGCGGAGACTTGAAGAAAGATATTTAACACAAATGTCCCATCACAGGAGAGCTTTGTGTAACAAGAAGGTATTCTTAGCAGTTACAGGATATTTACGACCATACATTCACTTACAAAACTTGGCTGGACACTATGCTGGAGAGAGGGAACTCGGATTATTTAAAAAAATAATATCATTTTAGATTTTATTTTTAAAAATGTTAAACTAGGATCCTTGAACAACTTTTTATTTGGTTTGATAGAAAACCTAGCTCGAATTAAGTATTGGGTTGTTAGATCAAGTTAAATTTATTTTTTATAATAAGAAATCAAAAACCAACTTCCTACTAGTTTGATATAAAATCTTACACCAAGTTTTAGGTTACCGGATTGACTTGTTGGAACAAATCTTATTTTTATAATAATACTTTAGAGTATATATTCATGGAAACAAGTTAACAATGAAGTTGCCTTTGCAATAAGTATCAGGAAACTGCTGTGACAAAAGGAAAGTGTCATATATTAAAAAAAAATTAAAAAGAAGAGTTAATTACAAATCACATGATATGATACTCTCTTTCTCAATCTATTCTGAAACTTGCATGGATGATTTGGCCCTTTGGATGAATTTAACCAAATAATTCTTAAAATAACTGGTTTATTAATTGAGTGTCCTTTTCATGCCTTCGTTCCCTTCACAATTTACTATATGAATCCCAGGGGACCATAATGAAGAAAGCTACTAAGAATATTTTAATTACTGGTCGCGTGCAGTACTACTAACCTGCCAATAATAATAAAAAACTTACAGCAAGTTTATGAGAGATGTCCATTTTCAATCTAAATTGTTTTACTAGTTGGGATCACAAGTTTGAGTGGTGATAATACAGAGATTGATATTTATTTTTTAATTCAATATGTGTGTGTGTGTGTGTGTGTGTGTGTGTGAGAGAGAGAGAGAGAGAGGAGAGAGATCACATACGTTTGTAAATTTACTTGATATTGAATAAGAAATGTTTAAGATTAATTGGAATTTATTATTGTCAAATTCAGTAATTAACGTAACATATATTAAAACCATAAAAAATATGAATTAATAAAATAAATTTAAGAAATTATCATCATCTCAAATTTTATTCAAATTAAGTACATGAGCATATATATAGGAATCGACAAGCCTGGATTTAATGGAAAGAAGTCTCGAGTAGCTTAATTTTCTTTAAGGACTGGGGAGGTGAGGTCAACCTTCCTTTGTCAATATTTAATCAAATGGGAGGAACAAAAAGATCAATTTACTGTACATACTTCATTTGATGTTAAAATAGATTCATTACATACTCGACTAGAAAGATAATTTATCAAAAAAAAAAGAGTCAAACTTAAAAATTAAAATTAAATAGATTACCCTTTATTGACTCTGCTATACTTTGAGAGTGCTTTTGTTTTTGTCCAACTTATTTTTTAAAGTATTGTTTTTTGGAAAAACATTAAATTAATTTTTAAATAATTTTTAATAATTTGAATGTGTTAATATAAAAAATAAAAAAATAAATGTAATTTTAACTCCAATGTTATGAGGAAAGACATTTTTTCATTAATTTTTTAATGATGGTATGTATAGATAAATTATTTGTCAATAAATATAAACTTAATTCTTACATCTAAAGATACCACTTAACATTAAATAAAAACAAGGGAAAGAAATTCCATAAATGCCATCTAAATTAACTTTAAAATTTCATTTAGTTATTGGTAAATATCTAAAGCTAGCGGTGAAAATTTTCATCAAACTTTCTGCACTGACTTCTCCTGTTAAACAAGATTTTTATTTTTAAAATTTAAAATAATATTATTTTAAATCTTTTAAAAATTAAACTAGGTTTTGATAAATTACAAATTTAATTATTCAGATTTAATCAATTCAATTTTTATCTAGTTTTGTTAAGTCTAAATTGTATCCACGACACCTTTTGAGATGTTGATTCCAATAATAATTCAAATAAATAAATTCTTTCTTTTACTTAATTTATTAATTTGGTTGAGATGATTTATCTAAGATTTGACGAGAAAAAAAATTTAATCTTTCTATACCAAATGAGCAAAAACCGTTCTCTCCAAATCTGGAAACCCAATAAAAACAGGAACAACCCACAAAAAAACCGGGAACTCAAAAATATTTACAACTTAATATAGCCCTTTTAACAGCTAAGTTCTTACTTTATATTTAAATAGATATATAGCCCTGTGTTGTTGTCTCTAAACAGTTGTCCAAAGATAGATTCTATGTTTTTGTAGTTTTACTCATCAGATACTGCAGTTTCCTCTTTTCCAGTTCTGCAAATTTTAGACATAAGCAACCTTCCATAGAAACCGACACCTTATCCGTGATTCTTCTCTGTCATCTTATACTCTCTCTTGTCTTCTCTAAATCCCTCTCCCTCTCTCCCTCTCTCTCTGTATGTGTGTGTGTGTAGAATACACATTCCTTGTTGTTTTTGGTTTCTTTTCTTTTCTTTTCTTTTTTATTGTGCACGAAACCAAATTCTTGCCTTTCACGAGATGATAAGAGAGTAGTAGTGGTAACAGGAGGAGTAATAGCTTTTAGTCTTTTTAGTTTGATATTTTTGAACTCTTTCTTGCTATTGTGTTGGCGGTATATATAGGGACTTCACGTGCCCTGTTTTATTCAGCAATTCAAGGCCCTTTGGTTTTGATTCTTTCTCGCTTTGTTTTTGGTGCTTTTCTTTGACCTGGAGTCTTGTACAATTCTTTGTTTATTGGTATAAGATCAGTACCACTTGAATTTGATGATTTTGAGCTTTGTTTCTGCAAATTTTGGTGAAGTGCGGTTTTGGTTTCTGGGTTCATGTTTTAATTCTTTTTAATTGAGTTTGAACTCAAAAGAGTTGTTCTCTAAGCTTAAGTTAACTCAAATTGGGTGTTCTTGAACTGTGATTTATGCAAGTGGAAAAAGAAATGAAGGGTTTGTTAGTTATGGCCATGGTGTCTATGCTGTGTAGTTTTGGTATCAGCAAGGAGTGTACAAACATCCCGACTCAGTTATCTTCACATTCATTTCGATATGAACTGTTATCATCACAGAATGAAACATGGAAAGAAGAAATGTTTGAACATTATCATTTGATACCTACCGATGATTCAGCTTGGGCCAGTTTGCTGCCAAGAAAGATACTGAGAGAAGAAGATGAGCATAGTTGGGAAATGATGTATAGAAATTTGAAAAGTCCTTTGAAATCCTCTGGAAATTTCCTTAACGAAATGCCATTGCATAATGTGAGATTGGATCCAAGTTCAATCCATTGGAAGGCTCAACAGACAAACTTGGAGTACTTGTTGATGTTGGATGTGAATAACTTGGTGTGGAGCTTTAGGAAAACTGCAGGTTTGTCTACACCAGGAAAAGCTTACGGTGGTTGGGAGGCACCGGATTCCGAGCTTCGAGGACATTTTGTAGGTTAGTTTTTTGTCGTTTTTGCTGATGATCTTGAATTTAGTGTTGACCAATATTAGTACATATATTTTTATGACAAACAAATTTGATTTGGCTTGTTGAAGGGCACTATTTGAGTGCATCAGCACAGATGTGGGCTAGTACTCATAATGAAACTCTAAAGAAGAAAATGTCTGCAGTAGTTTCTGCTCTGTCTGCCTGTCAGGTGAAAATGGGAACAGGATACCTTTCTGCTTTCCCATCTGAATTATTTGATCGGTTTGAAGCTATAAAGCCTGTCTGGGCTCCTTATTACACTATTCATAAGGTAGTATCTACTTCAAAATGGTTCACTGTAGTGATTCTTTAGAAAGTTATACGACTAACCATTTGTGTTGTTGACTTTGACAGATCTTAGCAGGTCTTTTGGACCAATATACATTGGCAGATAATGCTCAAGCTTTAAAAATGGTGAAGTGGATGGTTGATTACTTTTACAATCGAGTTCGAAACGTTATAACCAGTCACAGTATTGAAAGGCATTATCTATCACTCAACGAGGAAACTGGTGGTATGAATGATGTCCTTTACAAGTTATTTAGCATAACAGTAAGTACACTAATCTGTGCAGTTTCCTTTGCTTCTCCTGATTATTCACTTTATGAGTCCTATGAATTGTCTCCCTGGAGCTGGAATGGATATATTTTTGAATTTACTCTGTTCCGTGGAAGATAAACCTCTGGATATCTTTAACTCGAGCCTTAAATGTTACTATGGTGCAGGGAGATCCAAAGCACTTGGTGCTGGCTCACCTGTTTGACAAGCCTTGCTTCCTTGGTTTGCTTGCAGTGCAGGTAATTTATGACTATCAATTGTTGTTTATCAGCTTTTGGCTGGTGTTTTAGTCTTCTGGTTTTTCAGGTCTCTTCCTTCCTTTTGCTGATAAGAGTAGTTTCCCTTTGAGAAAACAAGCTTCTGATTTCGTAAAATGAAATGTTATCATCTTTGACATAACCATTCCAATCAGTTAGAGCAAGCCTAATTTAAGATGAACTTCTGAGTTTTTTATATTGCAAATAGAATCAATTTGGAATGCAGGCTATTTTATAGAAGCTTCTTCTCTTCCTTGTAGGCCGATGACATATCAGGTTTCCACGCCAATACACATATCCCTGTTGTCATCGGTGCACAGATGCGATATGAAATCACTGGCGATCCTCTTTATAAGGTTAATCTTTATATTAATCATAGATTACCTGAACAGCATTTTCTGTGAAATGTTGTAGCATTTTGATTACTGTTCTACTGAGCTATTGCAGTTCATTTTAGTGTAGTCATGCATGCATGATCTCTGATCTTAAAACTGCCTAAGACAGATTTGATCTTCCAGGATATAGGAGCATTCTTCATGGATGTAGTCAACTCTTCTCACAGCTATGCAACTGGAGGAACTTCTGTTAGCGAGTTCTGGTACTGATTGTTGTTTTTCGTTCAATAATAATAGTGATATTCTGAAGTAGGTTTAATGCCTCCATATAGAAGAATCTTGCTTCTACTTTCATAAAAAATGCTTGCTAAGATCTTACCCTGTGTTGGCTGACACCTTCCCTGATGTGTGAGTAGGTCAGATCCAAAGCGACTGGCTAGCACGTTACAGACAGAAAATGAGGAATCATGCACAACTTATAATATGCTGAAGGTGTGTTTCATCTCATATCTCTAATTACTGATTTAGATTTTATGTGTACTTGATGAATAGAATTTGTTTCGATCTTTTCAAAAACTTATTTTGACTCCAAGGTCTGTATGCCAGTAAACATTTTGGCATCTATACGGCATTTACCTGGCAGTTTTTTCATCTTCGTGTTACATAAATTTTCGTGCTTTAATACTCTGCACTTTTTTTGTAACCTGTAGGTCTCTCGCCACCTGTTCAGATGGACCAAAGAAATGGCTTATGCAGATTATTACGAGCGAGCTCTGACAAACGGTGTGCTAGGCATCCAAAGAGGAACAGAACCTGGAGTGATGATTTACATGCTTCCACAATATCCTGGAAGTTCCAAAGCCAAAAGCTATCATGGATGGGGGACTTCGTATGATTCTTTTTGGTGCTGCTATGGAACAGGTGTGGAAACTGTTACCTGCCTCATCCTTTCTTAGCTGCTAATACAGTTCACTGTTTTTAATCATTTTTTACTTGTAAGAGGAGAAACATACCTCTGCTTCTGTGCTAACAATTTGATATTATCTTTTGTTGCTGTACCCACAGGAATTGAATCATTTTCAAAGCTGGGAGATTCCATATATTTTGAAGAAGGAGAAGCCCCAGGCCTTTACATCATTCAGTATATATCAAGCTCTCTTGATTGGAAATCTGGACAGATTATGCTCAATCAGAAAGTTGATCCTATCGTTTCTTCGGATCCATATCTTCGGGTGACATTAACCTTTTCTCCTAAGAAGGTATTTGCTGAATCGATCTATCATATGAGCATACGGAAACTAGTGTTACTTTCGAAGGAGGTACTTGCCAATAAAAAAAAAAAATCAACCTGGATCCTCCTTGGCTGGGAAAAGGATGTTAAAAAGTGGCTAAATCTACTGGAAATTTATAATTATTTTTGTAGTGTGCAAGTGCACAGAGAATAGAAAGTCTTAACAAGGGGTGGAAAAAAAAAGGCTTACCTGTGATCATAATGGATCTGATTTCTGCAGGGGACTAGCCAAGCATCGACCTTGTATTTGCGGATACCAATTTGGACAAATTCAGAAGGTGCTACTGCAAAAATAAATTCTAAGAGTTTGCGTCTACCAGCTCCAGGTGTGAAGTATAATCTTAACTATTTGCATCTGTTAATCTATATGTTTCTCATATTTGATTTAATCCATTGTATAAGTGCTAATAGGAGAGTTCATTTGGCATCTTCCGAGTGATACCTGGAATAGTCTCTAATACTCTGCTTCTACTGCAGGTAGTTTCTTATCAGTCAATAGAAAATGGCGCAGCAGTGACAAGCTAACCCTTCAGATTCCCATCAGTTTGAGAACAGAGGCCATTAAAGGTATTTTCTTTGGATTCCTGCTTGAAATGTAAAATATTTTCGTAAATGACTATAAAGATGATGGACAAAAAGCTGACAAAGTCCTCTGAACAACATTCAGATGACCGGCATGAGTATGCTTCTATTCAGGCAATACTTTATGGTCCTTACCTACTTGCTGGTCATACAAGTGGTGACTGGAACCTCAAATCTGGGTCAGGAAATTCTCTTTCAGACTCAATAACACCAATCCCTGCCTCTTATAATGGACAATTAGTATCTTTTTCCCAAGAGTCTGGAATTTCGACTTTTGTGTTATCAAATTCAAACCAATCAATATCGATGGAAAAGCTCCCGGAATCAGGCACCGATGCTTCTCTTCAAGCCACCTTTAGACTTGTATTTAAAGACTCTTCTTCCTCGAAGCTCTCAAGTGTTAAAGATGTTATTGGAAAATCAGTCATGCTTGAACCCTTTCATCTTCCTGGAATGCTTTTAGTGCAGCAAGGAGAAGACAGAAGCTTTGCACTCACAAATTCTGCTGATGATGATGGATCATCTATCTTCCGCGTAGTTTCTGGATTGGATGGAAAAGACGGAACTGTATCCCTGGAATCAGGTATCCAAAATGGTTGCTACGTGTACAGTGGTGTGGATTATAAGTCAGGTCAAAGCATGAAGCTTAGCTGCAAAACAGGGACATCATCAGATACTGGTTTTAATCAGGGAGCCAGCTTTGTAATGAACAAAGGACTAAGTCAATATCATCCAATCAGCTTTGTTGCAAAGGGGGACAAAAGAAATTTTCTTCTTGCACCATTACATAGTCTGAGGGATGAATCTTACACTATTTATTTTAACATTCAACCTTAACAAGTGTTGATAGAGCTACTGATTAGTGACTCTGCTTTTAGATAAATTAAGTTCAATACATAAAAGAGGAGGGTTGAACTTGAAACCTCTTACGAGGAAAGGGGACACTAATTGGTGTGGGGCACTTTCTTCATTAGTTTAGTATAATTATTTTTATTATATTACTTCCTTTAGTGTTAAGATTTTTTTGGTGTTTGAAAAGACTTAGTGTAAGAACATGCTTATCTTTTGATTCCATCCATCTAAAATGTTTTTAGAATGTTTAAAATGTCTAATTATATAGGATAACCAGCTTACAAGCTATTTTTGTTTTTAGGCTCAAATTAAGCTCGAAAGCTACCATTTAATTTTTTTTTTGTTGTTTTTGAATACTTTTTTCCTATTTAGAACAGGATTTTTGATGTGGGACAACTAACCTAAGATTTTTGGATTAAATTAATAAATACAAATAGTTCAAAACTCAAAATAATCATAATTTTTTATTTAATTGTTTCATTGATTTTAAATTTTATAATTGGACTTTTTAATTAATAAAACTATAGTCTTGTAGAACTTTGAATGTGTTTAAATCTTATCGTGTGTTAAATTCAAATCCTTAGCTTTCTCTACATCAATTTTTAACTGATTATGATTTTACAAATTAAGTTTTTTATTGTATTGAAACAGCTTTTTAAGCTTTTTTTTTTTAAAAAAATAATCTTAGATTTAAGAACACTAATTTTTTTCTCTCTATATAGAGCCGCGAAATCTTAGGAATTAAAGATCCTATCTATGTTATAATAATTAGTAGAAAACGAATCCTATTCCTTATACATACTCAAGACTTTCATTTTCCATTTAAATCATAATTTTCTAATTCCTTTAACATATAATCCATATTTCTTTGCTAAAGCAGGCAGTTTGCTCAAGAGGTCAGCTTCTTTTTTTTTTTTTTAATTATTAGATTTTTTTAGTACTCACATTTTTTGTTCTCCCTTTCACTTTTCATCTCCTGTACATGTCCCTTAAAATAATATACAGAAGAATATATATGCCAACCGTTATTTTTTACCCCCAATGATTGGATGAGCTACGAGAGATCGCAGAGTGATATTGGGCATGCAATCGCGTGAAGGATCCACGCAATATTTCAAGTTCTTCGGCGCTGTACATATATAGAACCATTATAAAGGAAATCCTGAGCGAAAAAAGTACAAGTTAATCCCAGTCTGAAGCTGAAAATGATTGGAAAGGAGATACATAGCCAGCATGTTTTGCTGCAACAAGCTTGGAAGCAACCACTTTGCCCTATGACTGACCAGGTGCTGGGAAACAATTGCAGGAAACAGCACAGTTCATGAAAGCAGTGTAAAAAAATAAGAACTGAGCATGTAAAATCTCCTGACAAACTGAAGCACAATACCAGTGCGTTAGTCGTACGCAGAAGGAAATTTGGTTAATTAGCTGAGAAGTTTTTGTTTTTGCTCATTATAGCTCACATTCAGAAGTCACTTTTTCTTCAGATCCTCCAATATTCGTTGGTGTGCTACAAACACACATGATGAGCTGCTTGTTCATTGGTCAACGATGGTACATAGAAGGTTTTTAGAGGAAAAGATAGAAACTACTCTCTTATAGTATTACTTGGAGTATCTGGTTGACCAGAAATAACTTGGTTTTCAATGATGTTCAACCAGATATAGAATCTTACTTTTCTTTAACCCCCATCGGCTGTCTATCTGCAGGTTCAAGAATTATGAAGCATATTTCTCTTACACAGGTAATTATAATCTTCAAATAAAAGTTGACTGCATTCAACGATCGACAATTGCCAAGAGATAAAGTTGTAGGCTCTTTCTTTTGTTATGTATCTCTCTTGTTTCCTCTCCATTGGATCTCTTTTATGTACAAACTATATCTTTTCATGATGGCCATCCTCTAAATGGCCAGCATGATTTTAATAATACCTTCGATTACTATATATATATATATATATATATATATATATATAT